TTATAACTAATTACCAATACATATTACACATCTCTCTTCAACATAGTAGTCGTATATTGTTGACTTTCAGGTCACGTTTGCTTGAACAACTAACCATACTTAATGCTGATAAACATATCCATCATCAATCAGACAAATGATGCATAAATTATCCACACTCTCATCGTTATTATTACTCGTTTTATTTAATTTTACAACTTTATTCCTAAACAAATATCTCTCTCTCTCTCTCTCTTTATATATATATATATATATATATATATAAATTTTAAAATTTCACTAATTAGATTTTGTTAACTTTTTCGAATTATTTGAATACTATTTGTTGATGATTCTATTAACAACAAACATGTATTTATATAGAGAATATTCAGATCATTAAACAAAGTACTCATGCTACCGCGCAACGCCCGGTTTCCACACTAGTTTTAATTATAATAAAACGCATTTTTAAAGTGTATTTGATGACCCAATTACAAATTTTATAATGTACTAAAAATATATCATTAAAAAATATATATTTTTAATGGTCGAGACCGGTTGGGCCGGGTGTCTCGACCGGGAGCGGCCCATCATAACCGGTTATACATAACCTTAACTGGGCTCACCATTTTCGACCGCGACCGGGATCGGTTATGGTCGGCATTGCTGAGGCCCAAGATTAGTAAGGAGCGGCCTGACCAGACCCGGGACCGATTTTTGGCCATCACTAGCTGCTACAACCAAACCTTTCACGTGGGTTCAAGCCACTGGGCTAGGTAACAATGTTGATCCCTTACAACCAGTAGCAACTCATAAAGTGGATCTACTCTAACTATTCTATGTGGATAAGGAGAATATTTTTAAAATATGGCTTAGTTTATTCAATCTTAACTTTTGGTTGTGTTTTTTTTTTGATTAACCTGGTTATCCAACCCGCTATGTGAGCCGATTAATCCCAGGGCGACCACCTACTTTGCAGATAACCCGAAGTCACCGCATTTGAACCTCTGTGGCCACAATGGGATTTTTATTCCTCCTTAGATTTGAACTTGGTTGTTTTGTGCAAGGTATTTGAAGATAAGGGTTATTTGAGTACATAATCCATTTCTTAGAGGACACAGGGACTGCGCCTCTCTTTTGTTGATTCTTCAAGGGTAGTGGAGCTATTTTCATAAGCTTCAGGGGCTTTGGAAAAAGTTGTGTATAAAATATAAATAGTCTTTTTCTTTCCAGAATTGCTCATAATTTCATTTTTAAGATTGAAGTCAGTCTTCTTTTCTCTCTAAGCTAGCTCTCGTCTTATTCTTTCTTCTTAGCTACTTTGGCTAAGAATAAAGAAGTAGCTAGGGATTGTTGTAATCTTGTTTTACTTTTATATGAATTAAATTATTTGTTTGTGATTTTGTACATGGTATCGGAGCTACACATATCGTGTAGGATATGTTGTCGTTTTTGTTTATGATTAGATCTCTGCGTTTGCAAATATCGTTTCATCTTCTTGATAGGTAAGTCTTTCTTCCCTTGTTGATCTCCTTGTTTTCTGTGGTTGCGAGTAAGTGCATAGTCGAGTGATCGGTTCACGAGATTTTTAAGATCTCGATTTACCGTCCTCATCTGCTATACTTGTGACCTTCTTGAAAAGGAGATTTGTTTCTTTGCAAGTTTTTTTTTAAATCTGTTGTTGATCTTGAAAGGAGATCTGTTTGGTTGATTTGCTGAAATTTGTTATTGATCTCGAAAGGAGATCTATTTGGTTGGGTTTCTTTGTTGCAAGTAAATGCACGGTAGTGTTGTTTGGTTCATGAAATCTTCTTGATATCTTGGTTCACCAACCACGCCGTAATACTTGTGGTTTTTGTTCTTTTCTTTCCAAATCTGGTCCATTCAAGATCTGTGTCCCCTTGTTTTGTTTTTTCCAGACCTTGTCCATCCAAGATCTGTGTCCTTTTGTTTCTTTGTTTCCAGATATGGTCCATCCAGATCTGTGTTGTTTGTTTGTTCAGGTTTATTTCTCGTTTCTGGATCTATTCATTACTCTGTTATTAATTTTCTGGATCTGTTCATTACTCTGTTATTAATTATGTGGTGTGGTGTTTCTGTTCTTGTTGTCTATAAGTTATATTCATTATCTTATTTTTTAGTGTTTCTTGGTGTGTCTTCCTCTTTCTTATTGTTCTTCTTGTTCTGTTTGGGGCTGAATAGTTAGTTTGACCTAGCACTTCTGAGTGTTTTAGGAATCCTGCTTCCATCTATTCAGTTTTCTTTTGTTTTCTTTTATGTTCGATGGGTGATCCTACTGTTGACACTAGTAGCACAATGGAATCCTGAGTTACCAGTTTGGACTTTGGAGATCTATTGTATTTACACCCTAGTGACACCAGTAGAGCTCCTTTACTTAACATCAAACTAAGTGGAACCGAAAATTACAAGGTTTGGGCCTGTGCCATGACCTTGGTGTTGGAAACTAAAAATAAAATTGGTTTTTATCAATGGGTCATGTCCCCAACCAAAAAATGATCATGTCTTAGAAACACAATGGGATCATTGTAATTCAATTGTCCTTTCTTGGATTCTGAGTTCTATGACTGAATATCTCTTTTTTAGGACAAGTGTTCTTTACAAAATCTGCTAAAGTCTGGAATGAGCTAAGAGAAACTTATGATAAAGTAGATGGGTCTTTTACCTTTAATCTTTATCAGAAAATAAATTCTTTAAGTAAAAAAGGTATGTCTGTGATAATCCAATTATCATAGAAATCAGATTAATCCTTCAAGAACACAATTGGGATGAGTAGAGAGAGATTTTCACCAAAGTTGAAATGATATTTCTTGAGAGAGTTTACAAAGTGATTAACATGAACTAATTACAATTAACCAGCTAAAAACTATTTATACCAGGAAATAGTAAAACTAACTATTACAAAACAATTACAAATGGGAGAACTTGAATACAATCTTTTAAGCACAATCTTGAACCCAACAATCTCCCCCTTTGGATTCAAGTTCGAGAATTGTGAATCTTTACTTTCTAAGCCCAAGTAGTGTCTCTAGCCTCCTTAACGCACTTCGGCATTGCAATTTGTCATCAAGCAGGTTCAGAGCATTGATCAGTAGATACCTCTCCTTCGGACTCATTCTCTCTGATTCTGCGGCTTTATCGTTGTTAGCTTTGATCTACTCAAGTGCCCGACGCACCATCCTTATAGTACCATCACAGTATTTATTCAGCTCACTGAATCTCATAAACTTCTTTATCCGACCTTCAGCACTATACACCACACCAAACTCTGGTTCTTCAAGAATGATATACATAGGATAGCCTTCAATATCTTCAAGCTCTTGGTCTGGTCTTTTCAAATTAATGATCCTCTGATTGTCTTCAAGACCCATTTGGATATCAAGAACCATTGATACTTTGACATGACTCCGCATAAATCTTTTGATAGCATCAAGAGCAAGCAACAACTGCTCCTTTTCTTCTGACAGTCATATTCCGAAGTTCGTGATACATGTGCTCCAAGTCTTCTAAATACAGAGTAGAGAAATCAGCTTCACTAAATACCCAGACCTTTCCATCTTGTCTTGTAACAGTGAACACAGGATACCAAACTCTAAGGAGTTTTTGGGCATCAATTTGTTTGATGGAGACAACGCGATGTCTGGTCCGTACTTGGATAATTGGGAGGCGCTTTGCTTTAAGAAAATGCTTATACTCCAAACGATATTCTCGGGTTTCTTTGTGAATCCCAAGAATCTTGTCAGCACTAAGAGCTTTGGGGTGTCGAAGAAAGATACCGAAGTAGATGTCTTCCAGGTAAGGTTCTCTAATCCTTGCTCTATCATAACCTGGAACATTAGCGCGTATTGCAAACGACACGTAATTCTTAGAAAATATCTCTGTAGGATTATACGTCGTTCTCGGTTCTGAAGCATCATGACCAACTATGGTGGAAGGTTCAGAAGGAGTCTGATGATCATCCTGGAATGGAAAGATTGGTTCTTCTTCATTGATATCGGCTTCAAAGTCAAAGTATATTCCAGATGAATCATCAATATTGTTGATGTCTTCACCAAAGTCCTGATCTCCACCCAGTACTTTAGAAAACGCTTCATTAAAGCCCACGTTGGCAGACAAATCCAAAAGCAACCTTGTCTTTATAATGGAGTCCGCCGGCTTTTCAACCATTGGCTCGATCACTGGATTTGTCTCCAAGGCAATATCATCTTCAACTATTATCGGGTCAGTAGTCCTTTCCCTTGTTCTTTCCGGAACAGGACTTTCAACGTTAACCGCTCTAGAATCTGGCTCCCTTTCAACACTTTCAACACGAACAGACGACTCAGCCAGCCTCTGTCTCTTTCTCTCTAAATTGGACACAACAATGAACGATTTAACTATAACTCGCACACAACTACAAGTGATTTAACCCTATATCGCTCACAGCGTTACCTGGTTTATCACTAAATCGCACAATCAAAAATCACACAAAATCATTCAAGTCTTAAATCGCCCAAAGCAATAAGCGGTTTAACCTAAATCGATCAAGAGTTATACAATCAAAATTCAACCACAAACACAATTTTATCAACTTTTTACCAAAATTTTGGATCAAAACTTGAAAAATTATGAATTTTCGAAGAACAGAAACTTTTTCGTAAACTCAAAAATCAACCAAAATCAGTTCAAAACTTGATTAAAACTCAAAATTGTGTGAATCAAAGATGTTCAGAATGTAAATGTGAATCTAGTAGTGCAAATTTTAACAATTAACAATCAAAATTTATGAGATTAGAGTAGAAATTTAGAAGTCCGATCAAGAACAGCTCAAGAACATCGATGAACAGTGCATATTTTCCAGAAAATTTGTGCAAAATTCCTCGAAAAATTTGTAATCCTTCTATCAAATTGCTGCAACTGAGCTCTGATACCAATTGATAATCCCAATTATCATACAAATCAGATTAATCCTTCAAGAACACAATTAAGATGAGTAGAGAGAGATGTTCACCAAAGTTGAAATGATATTTCTTGAGAGAGTTTACAAAGTGATTAACATGAACTAATTACAATTAACCAGCTAAAAACTATTTATACTAGGAAGATAGTAAAGCTAACTATTACAAAACAATTACAAATGGGAGAACTTGAATACAATCTTTTAAGCACAATCTTGAACCCAACAGATATTTCTAACTCTTCAGTTACCATTATTAAATTAATGTAGAAAATTGATGATGATGATGATGGGCTACCTTTTCTGCTTACTTTTAATCCATCCCGAACACCAAAAACCACATTGCTTAAGCAGTCAATGGGACAACCAGTTCCAACTATTGCATCATCAAAGGCTTTAGCTGAGCTTAATCACATTAAAGGGAAGAGAAGAATTTGGTTTTGTGGATCATACCAAGGTAGTTTTCATCCTCTTCTAGTGTTGAAAGTTATATATGCACAATTTCTAAAAACTTGCCATAAGTGACGCAACATGCTTACTTAATTTTCTTGAGCTTTCCCCGTATACCAATATATTTTTCTTGAATTCATGATTAGTTGTTCGTTGTTAGATCAGTAAGTATGCTCCTCTATGTTCTTGCTCTAATTACTTCTTAATTTTGCCAACTCTTATTTATTTATATAGGTTATGGATTCCACAAGGATAAATTGAAGGTAACTCATTTTGTAAATTAGTACCGCATGCAAACCCTTTTGCTTAATAACAAATAAACGTATTTGGATAAGCTACCTAATAGCAACCTATCTTTTCACAATTCACGTTTTAGGCAATATACACCCTTTAGGTAGAAAAATAAAGTGACACTTTGCTTAAAAGAAAATACATTGCCTAAAATGGGAATTGCTCCATGTAGGTAGGTTGCTATATAATGCATATAGCCAAAAACATTTAGTAGACAGTACTTTGCTTCAATTTTTTATATGATATTCACTTCAAAAGGCTTTTCACTGTATTGCAGGCGGGTATGGTTGTACCAAATGGCATGATTAATCAGAGTTATGAATTTCTGAACAACCCCAAACAAATGGTACCCTCTTTGATGGAAGCCGGAGCACGATCGTTTGTTGTTAGGTTCCTTCGAGATTATATTGCTATTGGCACTTTAATGTGAGTCATGGTCTTATATATAGCATCCATCACCTTAAAAATCTCGAGGGTTTGTTTCACACATAAGCCAAGTTATTCATTTTAGTAGATAATGCTACCCATCTTTTGTGCATTGATCGTCCATTACATTTGTTCATAGTCTCTGCTTAGGTAGCCTTTTTTCATTTTTTTGCTTCGATAAATTTGTGATAACCAGCCCCCACATAGGAAAATAATGAGATTTTTTAGCCTTTTGTAATTTGTGGACTGTCTACCAATACTCTCCATTCAATGATTTTGGGCTCTTGAGGCGTTAGATGTATACTATCAATTTTATGTGGTTTGTTTTCCAACACTGAATGAAGGTGCATAAGCGTAAGCATATATACATCTATTTCTTTCAGTTTATTGGAGGACGGTGGTGAGACGTTCACCTTTGAAGGAACCATACAGAAGGGCCCTTTGAAAGTTTATATGAAGATTCACAATCTCCAATTTTACCGGARGGTCAATGTTCTGAATTAGTGTTTATATTTCATTTTCATGGTTATCTTGTTATTAAGATTTTACTTATAGAAAATCAGGTCAAGATCCACAAACATCTTTCTCCCTTAATTTTATTTGAATGTCCTTCTTTTGCTAAATGGTTTGTCATGCTGAATCTTCAAGCAGATTGTTACAGAAGCTGATATAGGTCTTGCTGACGCATACATAAATGGAGACTTCTCATTCGTTGATAAAACAAAAGGCCTTTTATACATGATTATGGTAAAGTCATTGTCTTGCTGATAGCCTCGTGCTTCCTTTTTGAACTTCGCCTATTTTGCAGATTTTCATTGTGAATGGTGATTTAAAAACGTATGCATCAAAGTCTAACAAAAGGTACTTTTAGCTTTCATAGTAATGTCTCATGTTGCATGGTTTATAGTTGTTCACACTATTAATAGAATTTGCTATGTCTGGCTTCTGGGGTTGGTGGACGCCAATGTTTTCAACAGCTATAATAGCATCTGCAAAGTACTTCTATCATCATGTTATGAGGCAAAACAATATTACTCAAACGCGCAGAAACATATCTCGCCACTATGATTTGGCATGTCGATAGTTTTACATTATATTTGAACAACTTTTATAATTCTAAAACTAACTATTAGAGCACTATTTAATGTGTATGTTTATACGTGTTTGTAGAGTAATGAACTATTCGCTCTCTTCTTGGATGAGACGATGACATACTCATGTGCAGTATTCTAGGTAAGTACTTCAAATTCATTTACAGTTTTGTTCCTTGTTTCATATTCAAGGATAAGTCATCTTCATGGAATTTTATATAGAATGAGGATGAAGACTTGAAAGGAGCACAAATGAAAAAAATATCATTGTTGATCGAAAAGGTGAGTGTTGAGGTATCGTGTTGTCGTTTTTTCTAAGCAAATGCCCACCAGAAATGAGTGATTTTGTCCCCTAAAACATGTTTAGGCACAAGTTGATAAGAACCATGAAGTTCTTGAGATAGGATCTGGCTGGGGAACTTTAGCTATTGAAATAGTCAAACAAACTGGATGTAAATACACAGGCATCACTCCCTCAAAAGAGCAACTCAAATATGCCGAAAGGAAAGTCAAGGAATGTGGCCTACAGGACCAAATCAAATTTCAACTATGTGATTATTGGCAACTACCCGACACTTTGAAGTTCGATAGAATTATATCCTGGTGAGTTAGAACATGTCACATCTCTATGCTTCCTTCATAACAATATATGGTTATCTAAGCAATGTCTATTTTCAGTGAAATGATAGAACATGTTGGCCATGAATACTATGAGGATTTTTTTAGATGTTGTGAATCATTATTGGTAGAAGATGGGATTTTTGTACTACATGTATGTATCCGACTCGGTTCATCTTTAACCTGAGAAAAGTAAAATTCATCATTATCAATGATCTTTCTTAAATCTCTAAAAGGAACAAACATGTACTAACTTAAGAAAAATGTACATTTTAAGTAGAATACTAATTTGCAGTTGTAACCTTTGGAATATCTTAGTTTATCTCAGTCCCAGATGGATGGTATGATGAAAGCCGACGTACCCCAAACTTTATTAAAGAATACATATTTCTCGGGGGGTGCCTACCTTCGCTTAATAGAGGAACATCAGCCATGGCTGCATCATCGAGACTCTCGTAAGTAGAATAGATAGGAACACATTAGAGGACTATGTAACAACAAATTATTAGCTTTACATGTTAAATGCTTAAAATTGCAGTGTGGATCATGTAGAAAAGATAGGAACACATTATTACCAAACACTCAGACTTTGGAGGACAAACTTCATGAAAAACAAAAGGTAAAGAAAAATACTATCCTTTTATCAAGTGATTGTATCTTTCATGAATCCTATTATTTTATCTGACAGTTGGTATTTATTTATATCACACTTAGCAAAATCCTTTCCTTGGGCTTCAACCAAGAATTCATCCTCACATGGGAATACTACTTTGATTATGTTGCTGCTGGATTTAAGAGTGAGACAATTGGGGACTATCAGGTACTTTTCAAAACACAAGATCATCATCCTTGAGAAACCCAATACTTTACAATCATTTTTGCACTCATCATCCTTGCAAAACACCTAATCATCACAACATTTTTCGTTTTCTTATTGATTAAAGGTTGTGTTCTCGTGGCCTGGAAATGTTTCCACACTACAATTTGGAGATCCATACATGGGTGTTATTTGAGCTTGGTGAGCATGTGTCTCTCTTGTCGAATATCGAGTTCTACTTACCTTACAGAACCTAGTAACTTCGTTCATGTGAACTTAATATCTAATGCGTCATTGGGTCTACTTGTCATGTGGACCTGCTATTAATAATAAACCAATACTTCAGTCTTATCAAAACTTCTCTAATCCTTGATATATATGTAATGTATATATGTGCATCTTATTGCACATAACCTACTTGCAAATGGATATACCGTATACATTTGGTTTGGTTTGTTAGTCTCATGGAAGTTTATGATAGTATCCGGTCGAGCTCTTATTTTCCCCTCAACAACATATGAAATTTGTCATCATGATTTGGGTTTAATTTTAACCACTGTTACTATAAAAAAGGCATAGATATAAACGTTGCTGGGATCGGGTTACATGGTCGCAAACCATGAAGTTACAAATTTTATGCAATAGCAACGATAAAGGTGTCAAATTTGTCAATAAATAATGTGAAACAAATTTGGATCCAGGAGGGCGATGTAAAGCATGTTTCTAAGGAGCTGCGTGCCATGTGCAAAGGTGCATAACTAAATAGGGACTACATGTGAAGTCGACACCTTGAACACACCAAGTCTTCATCGAACCTGAGGTTTTGGATGCCCATGGAAAAAAAGCCAACAACAGGCCTCTTATATAAGCATATGAAAAACAAAATAAACTATTTGAAGGGATTTGGATCCTAGTCAAGCTAGACGGCTCATTCTCACATCCATTTTTATTTAAATTTAACAAAAATGATACAACGAGGAGACATAAATCAAAACCCTATATGACAAAACATAAAATACATCACCTAAAATAATGCTTTCTTGTACAAATATATCCTCACATACATTATCAAAGTTTTCATCATCACAAACATTGTTAATGTTTTCATTACCATCGTTAACATTTGCAAAGTTTTTGCTATCATTTGGATTATTAACAAATTCTTCACAAGGATTTTCAACGGGACTTTCAAAAACATTTGCTTGTCTAACAATAAATTTATTCATAGCTCCTTGCATGAAGGTCCAATATAATTTACTAATAGCCGTTGAAAGCCACGAAGGCCCAATAAGCCCATAAAGTTCCAATAAACTTATTCCATGTATACATGTATGTATCATGTATCATGTTACACATATCGACTACATAGATACATATGTACACACAAGTATACATATACATACATATATCCACTACACATGCATACATAGATACACATACATACATATGTCCACTATTACATACGTACATACATACATACAAACACCTATAATTACATACATACTATATACGTACACACATATGTTGGATAAGATGTGTCACAATAACAAAGCTAACAAGTGATTTCTAAGGTCCTTTCCAAATAGAAATCCAGAGACACAACAAACCCGACAACAAATACGGATAACAATGATCTAGATGTTGCACAATGACTCTATCGAAAAATAAATAACCCCAAATATATATAATAACAATATATGTTATTATCTATGTAAACGACAAGTTCACAAAATAACAACATGAGAATTTAGCGTGGTTCCACTATCGGTGTGATAGTGTACGTTGAATGCACAATCAATAACCTTGAATGCACAATCTACTTACACAAGGTAGAGCAAAGCAAAGCTTTAAAGCATTAACATACATCAGACCTTTTCAAGCAAAATCCTATTCATCCGCTCGACAACCCCATTAGACTGAGGGTCGCCTGGTGTGGTGTAGTGACGGTGGATGCCTTTATGCAAACAAAAGTCTTTGAAGTTACCACTAGTAAATTCTCAACCGTTGTCAGATCTAAGCACTTTCAACTTCTTGCTAGTCTCAACTTCTACTCGTGCTAACCAAGTCTTGAATGTTTTGAAGATATCTGACTTTAACTTTAACACATACACCCAAAGCTTATATGATAAATCATCAATAAACAAAACAAAGTATTTACCTATATTAAGGGATGGAGTATTAGATGATCCCCAGATGTCTGTATGAACATAATCGAGTATTCTTTTAGTGTTGTGTTTTCCAACACCAAAAGAAACATGCGTCTGCTTTCCTTTGACACATCCTGAACAAAAATCCAGGCTAGCAGGTACGGCGACTCTAATGAGCTTTCGCTTACGCAAAATCTCCAAATTCTTCGGATGCGTGGCCCAAACGAAGATGCCATAAGCGAGTAACATCGAGATTCTGTGAACTATCAGCCACACATGATTCCGAAGAAATAGTCTCACCACTCAAATGAAAAAGGTTATTTTCTACTTGTTCACCTTTCATTACAATAAAACTTCCTGAGAGACGCACAAACTCCCATCTTCAATCTGAATCTTGCAAACCAATTTGGACAGTTGTCCAACAGAGATCAAGGAACAAATCATGGATGAAACAAATTTGACATTTTTCAATGTCCGAATACACCCATCGAACATCTTGATCTGCATAGTGCCGATACCTTTAGTAACACACAAAGTACTGTTTCCCATATAATTATTGTTACCTTCAACTTTTTCGAAGGTAGAAAAACAATCACAAAATGGTGTCATATGGCAAGACGCATCGGTATCTAACACCCATCGCCTATCACCTTGCGGTGGCATAACTGTGGCAGAGAAGCCATCTTGCTCCTCTTCAGTTGCAATAGCTGACGATTCAGAGTTGTCTTTGTCTTTATTTTAAAGACTCGAACAATCTTTCACCCAATGACATGGCTTGTGGCAGCAATTACAATTGCCACGTGCCTTTGATTTCCTGCGAGAACCAGGTCGGCGGGACTGAGGGCGCCCACGGTTTCTTCCTCTACAAGACTGCTGATCGTCTCGGCCTCTTTCAGCAAATAGGTATTGACTATGATTGTTGTTGGTCCCGAAAGGGTCTACAAGAAGAGAAATAGTTTGTAGAGGGGGGGGGATGAATACAAACACAGTATTTTCAAATTTAAAATATATATTGATAGAGAAGATCAATACATATTTTACAAGATTGTTTACGGAAAGATAAGGTAATAACGACCCATCTAAACAATCTTTGGTTACACACAAAGCTTTAGCAAATACAAGAAAAGAAGTTGCTAAAAGAAATATCCTTTACTCAAGCTAGAAGATGCTTGAAGTAAGAATTAGGTTAGAGAGAGATGCGCGCTCTCTGCAATGAGAAGAAACACTTCTATTTATACCCAGTGCATTAAATGTCCATTTAATGCAATATGGTAGGTTTAGAGCGCGTGTCAAACCTTAAGAGGAAGGCTTGTCCTTTGCTACAGTGAATAGTATAAAAACACTATTTCTGAACAGACATCCTTACCTAAAGTTGGTGGACAAAGAGTCGACTAGTCGGCTCCGTACCGTACTAACTTTTGTAAGGGTATGGGTTTTGTCCTTTATGTGCATAAGGACAAGATAACAACAATCGTGCTAAGCAAGCTTCCTTTGATCGCTGAATGCTGGAATGACTTGAAGGTCTCATCATCATTCGCTGAAGCTTGAGCAGTCTTCACACATATGTAGACATGCTTGTAATCACTGAATACCACTTCAGATCACGTACTCGCCGGTCTCTAATCTTCAGTTTCAGTCTTCGACGTTTGCTGAAGGTTCTTTGGTGTGAGTGTTATCTTCTTGAAGTATTGCTGTCTCTGATAGATTTAATGCACGTTCTTCAGCGATCAGTGAACATACTCAGTGAAGATCGCTGGAACTGAAAATACAGAAACACAAATACAACGTGAAAGAGAGAAGTGATTATCATCAAATCACTGAGAGAGAGGATCAACAATCTCCCCCTATTTGATGATAACAAGATAACATAAAGAAGGTTATCTTATCAAATAATAGTAAGGAAAAAGTTACATATGAAGTACATGTCCCTTTTTACTATATTGGGATCTTTTTCAGTTTGGTTAGTCTCAACTTGAGAAGTTTTCTTAAGTTATATCTAAGAAAATTACAAGTACGAAAACTGAAACTGAAAGCTTATTCACTGACTTATAGACTGTCARTRAATGGAAAAAGTAACATTGGAACTCATAGACTTGTGTCCCTATTACTTTTTTTAGGGATCTTTTTCAGTGAAGTACATGGAATACTCTTTTTATTTATCATAGAAAATAATACAAGTATTACTGTACATGTTCAGAATTTACAGAATGTAAATACAATCAATGAAAGAAGACATAGTACAAGGATTTACAAGGAAAAGTGGATTGTTGTTACAAAGAGAATCTTAATCTAGAACATTTAGATCTATGTAAACAGGTACATTTCACCAAGGTTTCTTCGACGTAGGACTTCCCTTCGTATCTTCAGATCTACGACTTTTCCAGGCATGCTATCATCTATCTAGAGCAAAAGATAAACCAAATGATCCATTGCACATAGATGTAGCTCTGACATTCTCTGAAATCTGACTTTACATTCATAATCAAGGAATATAACTCCTAACTCGGGTTTAAAATGCACAGAGTTGGGTGTATAGGGACCCTTATCTGGCAAGTCAAGATTCAGCATAGAAATGTCAGTACTCTTATGAGCCTTCAGTTTTCATCTAACGAAAACCTTGTTTCATGTTCGTTCCTTAGGAATGGTCCATCATTAGGATCAGAGAGCTTGAGTTTCTTCTTCCCACCTTTCTTCAGAGTTGGCCGGTCAGGGACCTTGACATACCTGGACATCTTTTTGATGAGCTCGTTGATGGTGTCCTCGATAAGTGTCTTGTGTCTCGACTTGGATTAGTGAATGGCTTGTCTGTTCTCCATCCATTTGTTGTATCCATAGCGGCCAAGGTAGGAAGGGTACTCGGTAACGGCATCAAGATTGTCCCTGGTGATGAGCATTGAGACCAGTGTTCCACCGTCTTTAAAACGTCCGCTGATGCTAACGCTGATAATTGCGCGGGGACTGAGTCTCTTGTTCAGTTTTGCTTCGCTCCAATGCTTGTCCTTATCCACCAGCTTCAGCTTCTTCTTGCGTTCAACTTCTGCAATAGAGAGAAGTTTAGCCTGTGCTTGGTCAACATTCACCGTCTTCTTGGACTTTTTCTTGGGAAGGACTTTAGCAGCTAGTGAGTTGGCCAGCTTTAAGTTGTCTACAGTCTGCTTCCTTTGAAGCTTTAGCTCTTCTTCAACCCTTAATGCCTCGAGTCTTTCAGCTTCAAATAGGAAGTCAAACTCACCACCACTAGAGGTAAGAATAGGGATTTTTACTCTAGTCTGGTCGAGTGACTCCTTTAGCTGAGACATCTGCTGGTCTGTTGGAGCACAAGAGACGGGTTGAT